AGACTTATTGAAGCTCATAAATGCATTAAAGATTGGAGAAATGAAGCTTGTGCCTGTCAAAGCTGGATATCTGTTGAAGGTTAGGGATTGTATTGCTGTTTAATGCTGTCTGCTTATTGGATTCAGTGCTTGCTAAAGCTGAAGATTATTGGAGATAAAAGCTTACCTGAAATTTGGACATCATTGGAGAATGAAGATAGGATCTTGCCTAAAGTTGTTACTGTCAACCTTTTGCTGTTTATCAACTGTAGCTGTCAGAGCGTGTTGTTGCTGTTTATTGTAGGAGTTTGTTGCTGCTGCTTGGGCTGCCTCCTCTGTATCTTTTGTTTTTCTCTGTATTGTCTGTTGGCTTGTGCTGCTTGCCCTTTAGGCTTGAAGTGAATTTGATTCACTTTGCCTGTTGCTTTCTTAGGTTCGAGGTTGAGTGGGACTCCCTTGCCTTGCTTGTTTTGCTGCATCTCATGCATACTTACTGTTTATTGTATTTTTGTTGTTTCTTTTCCGTTTATCCCCTAGGATCTCTGATTTCCTCTGTGCAGGAGGGAATTATGACAGACATTAGGTTGTAATCCATGCATGATAACATTAGGGTAGTTTTGATTCCCTTTCAAACCCTAGGATTTTTTAGACTTCTTTCTCTTCTATCTCAGAACAATTCAAAACACAGTAATAAGGATAATCGATGTCGTACGCTACGAGCCTTAAGCTATTTGAGAAAGGTTGCTGAAGGGTCACTCTTCAGTAACCTGATTACTTAGTGTGTTACCCTTAGGGTGACATACGACGTAGTCACCCTCAAATCATAGCCTCTAGAACGTCAGAGATTGCAAACATCATAAAAAACAGTTCTTGCATAAAAGACTGATAACAAACATCAAAGTGTCATTTTTGTCCGCTTGGACTCTTAATCAGGAAAAACCCTTTCATAAGGAGATAAAAAACACTCAGACAAGCTTGTGTCTTCCGTAGCCCGAACTACGTTTTCTCTGATCTTTCATGCTGTATGAAAGTACGTAGGCATAGGATGCGATATCCTAGCGAGCAACCTTCCCTCCTTTCCCGTAGGTAGGCGAACTATGTTGACTCTGATTTCTCGTTTCAGGCAGGAATACGTAGGCATAAAGTGCGATACTTTGCCGAGTCATTTTTCTTTTCTTTTAACCTCAGACCTTTAGAATAGATAGAATAACAATCCGTACTAGAAAACAAGCGTGGATCCCGTCGAGTACGACGGACGTGAGGGGTGCTAATACCTTCCCCTTGCGTAACCGACTCCCGAATCCAGGATTTGGTTGCGATGACCATTCCTTTCCCGTCTTTGCGTTAGGTTTACTTCGAGCGCTCCCTTTCCCTCCTTTGGGATAAATAACGCACGGTGGCGACTCTTCTGTTCAGCCGGCGCCGATTTTCGCAGTAGCGACAGCTGGTAGCTGTGCCTTTGGTCTCTGTGCGTTAGCAGCTGCATCATAATATGAATGAATAGAAGAAAAGAAGAAGAGCAAGGTTGTTGGAGTTTAGTGCACCACCTTGAACGATGTAACGTGGGATCGCGGTGTTGGTGTAAGCCCTAGAGGCCAATACTTTTTGGTACTTGTATCAGATTATTCGTTTAATAATAAAAGGCATTTCTTTATTATGTTTGTCTTTCAGAATAATAAAGTCCCTAGAATAGTTAGTCTGTTTAATGAAATGTTAAGTGTGACTTAATCATGAGATCCCATTAAACATAAAGACATTATTCTTAAAATATCCGTAGTCAAGCTTTATTGCAAAGTGGGATAACATTAAAAGCATTGAGACTATTATGAAGATAGACTGATGATCACATCTCATGGATCATGGATAAAGAGTTATCAAGTCTTGACATAGGTATAAATATTAGGAGTAATATTTATACCGGATTGACCCGCTATGAGAATACTACATAGTATGTTATGCAAAGTGTCATAAGTTATTCTCATGGTGATAATGGTGTATTACCACCCTTCGACCTGAAACCACTATGGACCCTAGATGTAGAGTCGGGTGCTTTATTGCTGATCAAACATTATCCGTAACTGGATGATCATAAAGACAGTTGATGGGCACTCCACGAAGCATGCTGAGGGACATGAGTGTCCTAGATGGAATTTGCCAATCCTGCATAACAGGAGAAATGTCTAAGGGCCCAATATTGAACTGGACAAGGATGACACAGTGTATGCCTTGTGTTCAATATAGACATAGGGGCAAAAGGGTAATTGTACAAACATATATTATCACGGAAAAGGTTTTGTCAGATCACATGACATTTTCGTGACTTGGGTAGCAGTGATGTGTTGCTAGATACCGCTTACTGTTTATTATGTTAAATATATATAATTTAATATAATTACCAACGTTACGAAATCCTACAGGGTCACACACATAAGGACAGTTTGATGAGAGATAGAGAAATCAAAGGAACACCGTAAGGTACGGTGCACTTAAGTGAAAAATAGAAATTCGGATAATATAATAATAATTATTGTTATTTTATAATGGTTATAAAATAATAATAAAATAAATATATTTATTATAATAATAGTTATTATAATAATATATAATATTATTATGGATCATGTGAATTAGGGTTTTAGCCCGCAGCCCACAAGAGAGTCTATAAAAGGAACCCTTGTGATGAAGCTTTCACTTGATGCAATTTCGTTTTGATTCTCTTTTCTCACTCAAATAATTCCGTTCGTAAGCAGCTAGCACTGTGACCGGAAGCTGTTCGTGTGGACTGAGTAGAGGCGTTGCACTTCATCAACGCTTGTGATCGCTGCATCAAAGATCTGAATCGCCACAAAGAGGTAACGATTCTATCACTGACCATGCTCATTCGTGAGGATCACTAAAGGAAAATTTTTGTTTTCCGCTGCGTTTAGATCGCAATTTTCCTTCACGCGGGATCCTCGTATCTTGTATTGATATATTGTTGTAATGATGTAGCTTTTACCGTTTTCGAATACTCTTGTAATTCATCTTTGTAATATTCTTGAAATATTTAGTAATTTGCAACATACATACTTAAGGGCTTCTCCTTGCTTTGACAATCATATGTGATGAAAAGATTGAGTACAACATTTGTTACCATTTGAACACATATAAAACGTTTCATCCAAGTAGTTTAGGATATGAGCAATTTCCTTCCTTGAGCTTGTACTTATCACACGTACCAAACAACTACATTCTCATAACCTTGTAGTTTGGCGTAATATAGCTTGTGACTTCTGATTTCTAACGATGAACTCCCAAATAGCCAAATCGTTCCAATGCTTCAAGACACTACACTTCAAGATTTCTTGCACTTAATAATCCTCGTAACTAGGCCTCTTGAGTGATGAAAGCGTTATAGTGCAAACTTAAATAATCTTGTTACAAAATCAATGCATTCAAGAATGAGTCCCTCGTATCTTGAAGGAAAACTAGAATGGCTTGATGTTTCCCTTAAAATTCTCTGCAACAAACGAACTTCATAAAACAAAACAACCAACTAGTTAAACAGTTAGTTAAAGCAGGAAAGATAGATCTAGATGATATACACGAGGGATGCACGAGGAGGTAGGGTCTTGAGGTCAAAAATCAGGGTGCGACAGTGCGACACATCTGACATTGGAAAATGTAAAAAGTTGTAGAATTTAGAAATTAGTAGTTTGTTTTGAACCAATCAATATAAATAGTGGACATCATTGGCAAAAGTGGAAGGCAAAAACAAACTATTTAATTTAAAATAATAGTTTGATTGAAAAAAATAAATTTTAGAGACAAATTACCTTCAAATTAATGACGTGATTAAAAATAAAATAAAGATATAAATGTAATTTCCATAACGTATAATTTTTTTATATTATAGATTTCAAACTATTGAAAACTTTTACAAATTTAAGAAACATAAATATTATACTAAAATGTTCTGATAAAACTTTTGTTAATAGATGAGACATACAAATAAAAAATAAAAACGTAACCGATAATTATGTACCTCATCATAACAAACTAGTTGAAAAGATCTCCCGAATAAGGTCACATTTACCAAACATAATCTCCACACGAGTGTGTTGCTAAGATCCATACATATGGTTTCAGGAATGTGACGCTTTCCTAAATAAATTGCTAATAAGATCCATCATATAAAGAAAATAAAAAACTCGAACAAAAAACAAATAACTAAGAGAGAGCCACAAGCAAGTGACACAAAAAAACAAATAACCGATGTAGGCCAAAATCAAGAAAGGAGCATAAAACAAATAATGCTAGAAAATTTCCTAACAAATTAAACCTGAAAAATACTTTTAAAAATTAAATTAGGTAAAACATAATGAGAATCATATTTAGTTTTAGTGGTTTGTAGGTAGAATTTAATGGCTTCATCTTTTAGATTTTCGGTATTCAAAATGGTATATCGGTTATGTATTTCCTTAATATTAAATTCTAACCCTTCCATATAATTAAATTTCTAATTATGAAACTAATAAATTAAAATTTCATTGAAATCATTCATCTAATTTTTCTAAACTAATTCATCAAAAATAATTACACCTCTTTTTTTTATTTAATAATTAATATGATATATATATATATATATATATATTGATCATGATATTGTAAAGAATTATATAACATTAGTTTAATTATTAATTAATTTAATTGGTAAAGTTTGTTACATTTAAACATGACATTTGCCAACCGTGAAATAACAGACAACAAACAAACGAACCCAACGAAGATACAGACAATAAACAATATACAAAATTTTCAACCTTAATTTGTCTCAACATGACAACAACTATTCAATTTCCTTCTTTCCTATTCCTGTTTATTCCAACTTCTTTCACGTATCTTTCACCATTTTCAACTCCTCTATCATCCTGAAATTCCAACCCCTTTTCGCTCCGGCATAAAAACTCCATTCTTCTTCCTTTTCTCTCTTTTTTCCGCCAAAACATCGTCTGGTTCTTCTGTTTTTCGTTTCAGAAATCATGGGTGGCTGTTGCAGCCACGAGATTTCTACCCGAGGCAAAGTCGAAAGCGAGGTGGATGAAGGAGAATATGATTATGACGATGAAAATAGTAATGATCATGTCACGTATCAAAATGATGGATCAATGGTTAGATTTGGAGGATTTTCCAGAGTTGTTTCAATGTATACTCAACAGGGTAAGAAAGGTATCAACCAAGATTCAATGACTGTTTGGGAGGTAATTAATTAACATTCTTAATCTTAATCGTCATGAATTTTAAGGATAATATTGTTATTAGAACATTTCTTGATCATAACTTTATGTAATTGAAGATCTGAAATAATGAAATGAAACATGTGGCTATGATTAATGTTTGGATATGTTATGTTCTTAGGATTATACCGGAGAACAAGGAATGATCTTATGTGGTGTGTTTGATGGTCATGGTCCTCTAGGCCACAAGGTTTCGCAATTCATTCGCGATAATCTTCCTTTGAAACTCTCTGCGGCAATCAAAATGGCACAACAGAAAGCCAACAGATACTATGATGCTCCCGATGCAGATACCGAAACTTTTGATGATGGCCACAATGGTAGTAACCGCGGAAATAACATATCGCTGGCTTCGTGGGAAGGATGTTTTCTGAAATCGTTCGATGAAATGGATGAACATCTTGCTAAGGAAGTTAACACGGATTGCTATTGCAGCGGTTGCACAGCTGTAACTTTAATTAAACAGGTATAACAAACCATGTAACTAGATGTTCACAATTGCATCACGGTCGCGTCATGGACTAAACGCTTTTGCTGTATAAATTGCAGGGTGACCAGTTGATAATTGGAAATTTGGGCGATTCTCGCGCGATTCTTTGTACAAGGGATAGAGATCAACTTATACCTGTTCAACTTACCGTTGATTTAAAACCGGATATTCCAAGTAAGTATTGGTATATTGATTTTGGCCTAAATTCTCATATGTTATATTATACAATGCAAAGCCTATCGAATTTATGTGTAATTTTCTTTTCATCTTCGATGTTTTTCAGGTGAAGCTTCGAGGATCTTTAACTGTGAAGGAAGGGTTTTCGCAGCGGAAGAAGAACCAGATGTATACAGAATATGGATGCCTGATGATGACTGTCCGGGACTCGCTATGTCAAGAGCCTTCGGAGACTTTTGCTTAAAAGATTATGGCCTAATTGCAGCTCCTGATGTGTCTTACAGAAAAATTACCAAACAAGATGAGTTTGTTGTTTTAGCAAGTGATGGGGTAAGCATAAATAGTTATGTTAGTTTCCGGTCGAACACCGAGCTTTCTTCTTAAAACTCTTTCGGTGTCTTTTCGCTAATCAAGTGTGTCGTTTTGTTGTCAGATATGGGATGTGCTGACAAACAGTGAAGTAGTAAACATAGTTGCTTCGGCGCCAAGGAAGTCGATAGCAGCAAAGTTGTTAGTAAAGCGCGCTGTGAGAGCATGGAGGTACAAGTATCCGGGATCGAAGGTTGACGATTGTGCAGTCATATGCTTGTTTCTTAATGAGGAACCTGTTTTGTCGCATTATCAATCGACTACGAGTAGAAAAAGTCAACATCATCGCAGCAAGCGCTCGAAATCGCAGAGAAATGAGGACAATGAAACTGTGGCAGGAAAACTTGATGTTGATCTGCATGAAGAATGGAAAGCTCTTGGAGGGTTAGCTAGAGCAAACTCAATATCAAGACTTCCAAGGCTTGCTAGAAAAATGAGTAAAAGACAATCATCTCAGCGACGTAATGGAAGTTGAAGGAATTGTGATAAGCTCTAATAAGTGATTATGTTTTTGGAGCTCAAAAGTTGTATATTTAGCTGAAAAGAAAAGGAGGTTGAAGATTTTAAAAATGAGGGGAAAAAATTAAATTTAATGGTGAAATATGGCTGAAAGCTCATCTCATTTTTCACTCAAATTTTTAGGGGATACCAAAAATTTGGTTTTACCTCAAATGATGTAATGGTTTTACCATTAACTAATTATTTACCTTTAATATTTATGAATTGTGTGTTATATATTGATGATCTACTTGGAAGGATTACTTCTAAGATAAGATGTATTTCCGTGTTCAACACTTGTAAGACATCAACATTCAAACCATACACGTCTGAATGTCTGTCCAACACTTGTAGAACATCAACACTCAAACTAACACTTGTAGGACATCTGCACTCAAAAATCACACAAGTCTGATTGTTGTATGACATCATTACTTAAAACAACACGTGTTAAACACTTGATAAAAAACTTTTTTTACGCGACCAATAAAAAATTATAGAGACCGTCATTAAATTTTGGTTGAAAGCATTGGATACTCTAGATCTTAGTTAAAAAAAAGTATAGAAAAAGAGGACAATTTTTGTGTGGAGAATCAACTTTATTTTTTATAATCAGAATATCTTTTCATTGTAATATGTAATGGAGCAGCTATAACAAGTTATGCATAAGAAATATGTGGTTACAAGTTCTTGCATTTTGATGTGTTAAAACAAGCTTAACTCCGTTTTGTAAACTACTTACATTAAAAAAAAAAAAAGAAAAACATTATAGTTTGATGCAATATTTGTTAATCTTCATGGTCCCAAACATCTTCTACACTTTTCAATGGCCCTTCACTCTTATTCACAAAGAGGTCTTCACCATCCAAAACTCTCCTCTGCATGTATCAATAACCAAAAATAAAAGTTCCATATGGTAATAATAATGAGTTCTAGGATCCAAAAGACCGAAGTAACCTCTGAAACTTAACACTGGCATTTGTCATTATATTTAATTTGTTTATTTTTTAAAGTTATTAGTGATGTTGATGTGTCAGTGTCAATGTCGTGTTTGGTGTCTGCCTACCTGATCCGGTATATTGCTAAGGTTTTTGAAGTCTTGTGGTGGAACTTCCCAGTTGAAAACAACCACATTCTCTTTGATCCTATTCGGGTTAGTTGATTTAGGGATGACACTTGTTCCTCTTTGGATTGCCCATTTCACCAACACCTGCCCTGGACTCTTGTTCAGTTTCTTGGCTATCCTATCAACAGTTTGATCATGGATCAAATCTCTCCCACCATCTGATGATCCCAGTGGCGAATAGGCCTATAGAGCAACAATGTTGACAATTCCAATCAATAGCATCAATCACAAAATCATGAAGAAATTTCAAAATAACAGTCACGGTTTAAGCCGCCCGAAAAGCTGAATCAGCTGCATTTGACTGCAATTGCTTACAATGTCAAAAATAGTGGCATAAATATGTTACAGCGACCGTTATTTAAAACCTTGGAGCTAATTACCGTAACATGGATGCTGTTATTCTTGCAAGCCTCAAGCATCTTATTATTTCTCCATCCAGGATGCATCTCCATCTATCAGAAAACATCACATACACAAATCACCGGAGTTGTTCTTTTTTTCAACTCGGAACTCGAGTCTGATTAGCATGATTTTACCTGGCATACAGAAGGCTTTATTTGAGCAATGCTGAGTAACTTGTCAAGTTTAGCAAGAGTGAAGTTGCATATTCCAATGTCTTTGACAAGATTTTCCTTAACAAGCTTTTCCATTTCTCTCCACACTCCTTCCATGTCAAACTCCAACACATCTCCTGCTTTAGGAGGCCTGCTAGCCCCATCATTCAACCGAAATGGCCAGTGAATCTGATACACATACATATACATTATTAGACCCTATCAAATCATAATTACATTCATCATGAATAAAACAAGTGGAAAAAGAAAACCATCTTATTACCAAGTAAAGATCAAGGTAGTCAAGTTGGAGTTCTTTAAGAGTATTGTTGAGTGCAGGTCTTACCCTTTCAGGTGTCAAGTCAGTGCACCTATCAGCCATAAAATTTCACACCAACAAATTCAATTGAATCAACATAAAAACCTAAAGAGTATAGGCATATTAACATACATCTATTATTATCAGGGCCGTTCGTTATAGGCATGCAAACCAGACTACCACACATGTTCTAAAATCAAAATTTGGCTAAATAGAGCATCTGTGAATGCCGGTCTCAATTAAACTATAGTTAAATTAGGTCCCTATTTGTTTTATCATAGTTTAACTGCGACTAATATTTACAGAGTCTCTCATGATACATTATTACCATATCTTGGAGGTTATAAATAGATCCTTCCTTTCCACTCCTGCTTGCATGGCAGATTGAAGTGCATTTCCAACCTCTTCTTGAACTCCATATTGAGCAGCAGTGTCAATGTGTCTGTAACCAGCCTGCACTCAAAATTGATCAGATATTTCATATTCTACAAAAAAAACTATATAATATAATACTATTCATGAATGAAGATTGAAGAATATATATAATGATCTAGTTACATCAACAATGGCAGTGAAGACAGAATTGCTAGCTTGTGAACCAGATTTCCATGTGCCCAATCCAATAGCAGGTATGCTATGTCCACTCAAGAGATTAAATGAATGTGTCTTTGGTTCATGTGGCTTAATTGTTTTTGCCATGCTTTCTTAAGATAGTGTTCATTCGTTTGTTATGATGAATCATATGATAATGATTTGATGGAATTATAGCCAAAGACGCATTCTGGAGTATGCGAACATGTAGGAGTTTATTGAGATTCATACAATACAATACATCACGTATTTGCATGCTAGCTAGACACGTTCATGCACATTTTTTGTCTACGTGTTCTCTTCCTAACTAGTTATTATAGTTGGGTTAGTTAAACATATTCTATAGTATGTGTATTATTAGTTTTAGGGTTGTTAAGTTACTAATTAGTTGGGTTAGTTAGTCCATTTCTCTTCATAGTTGTTACAAGGAATTACTATATAGTTATAGGGATTCATTATTATCACTTAACTTTGATTAATAAAGTTTATTATATTTTGAAATTATTACAAAGTGTTGAGGACGGACCTAAATAATTTGGAGATTCTGTTCAAATTTTAAAAATAAGGCTTCGAAAATAAAATACAAAATAAAAATCAAGAAGAGAATTTTTGTAAAGACTTTAATTAAAATGCACCGACAAAGTAAAAGAATATTACACAGTCAATTAATCATAAACGTTGAATATTAAGAGAAATTTAACTTTTATTTTAACTATCTATAAAGTAATGCAAACGGATGATGGTAATGAATTAAGAGTGTAAAACTTTTTATACTGATAATGCTTAGTAATTAATTTTTTTAAACTGTAAATAACATTATAAAAATAAAAAAAAGAATAACCGACTAGAATTTAACATGCATAAATATTATTTTTGTATAGGATTCGTCTATTTATAAACTTTTTACCACCGGATTAATTATAACGTGTGCCGATTCACATTAATATTTACACTAGGTTCTCTCAAGGTTCTTGGTAGAAAATTGATCTCTAGGTTCTTGATGATTGTTTAGAGATTGATCAATTCTATCACTTGATTGATCAATCCTATCATTTTCACTAGATTTCTTGTTCTTCAACTAGAAGACACAACAATCATTCAAGAGATGTGATTCCTCACATTTTTATGAGGTATTCTCTCATGGGTTACACACTCCTACTCAATGACAAAAACAAGAGAAAAGTGAATAAAAATTGGTGCAAGAGGTAGACGCACTCTCACGAGATGCTACTCTTCAAAAACTACTAAGACAATGGATTTTTATCAAATCATAGAGTGATGATTCAAATCAAAGATACAATCATCTTAAATCAAAGCTTTTGAAATAAAGGAAAGAGACCATGATTTGAGTCATGTGTACCTAATGATTCGAGTCAAGAGAATTTGTGGTTCAAATCACTCTCTTCTTTGAATTAACATAAAGGATGTAGAGGAAAATCCCAGCTTGCATGAGACTTCATTCGAGTCACACTTTGTATGATTTTAATTATACATCCTTACAACCTTGTTTAAAGTGTTATAACTTGTGATTCAAGTAATAATCAATATATTAATACAAAACGTATTTTTAGGATAAAAAAAGGAGACAAAAACATGGACACAACAAATAATTTAATGAACCAAAAGGTTTCTCAAAGGTACAAAGATTAAATATATCTGAAGCGAATGATCACGAATACAAGTTATTATTTCAAATGAATTATAACAAAAATGCTACAACAATGCAAATAAATTCATATAATGGATAAAGTACATACACATGATAAATCAAACATTACATTATTGCTAAGGGCCAAAATGTGTTGATATTTCGTATAAATTAATGATTCTTAGTAACTTAATTCATTGGATTTTTATATCAATCCCTCAACTTTTGTTTAAATTTAGTTTTTTAGTTTAATCATGTAAACATTTTTGAGATTAATCACATTTTGCATCTAATATGCAATTTTGTTGCATTGAAGGAGCTTTGAATGCTAAAAGGGAAAAACAAGAGCTTTTACATGAATTTTGGACCAAAACCATGCCAGGAGATAAGGCTTAGCGCAGTTAAAGTGTCATCTAGTTTCTCAAGATAGTAGGTTTCACACTTAGTGTGGTATGGTGTCGCTTAGTGTGAGTTATGACGGTTTTATGGCTTTTGTCATCTAGCCGCTTAATGTAACACTGTTATAATCCTCGCAGAATAAATATAAATAAATCAGAGTAATTATCATACATCTCACAATAGGGTGTCACATAAAATTTCAAAACTTCACATAAACCTGTCATGCTCAATAACACTTAAATAACTTCATGCTTTTCATACACTTTCACATTAGCATGTAACAACGGATTTGCTTTAATCATAATAGGCATAATAAAAGTCTCATGCTCATCTCATTCATAATTAATACTTAGGCTTAAAAGTCAATACTTCATATAATTCAAAATAACAATAATCTAAATGAAGTAGAGTACATAAAATATCTCTTAAAACATGAAATCGAAACATTACTCAGTGTTACATAATCAGAGCATGACTCGACCCATAATAAATAAAGACACAAATCAAACTACTCCAACGGCTACCTCGTGCTAGAAGCAACTCTACTCCTCGGTACCTGAGCGATGTCGTATAAAACATCATTCCAACAGAAGGGTGAGAATTCACATAATTATTGAAATTATAAGACAATAATTAATCTTAGGCATACAAGTATAATTCAATTATTCTCACACTTCAAAGTTTCATCAACAAAGTATCATGCAAGTAGCCATACCATTCTCTAGTATATACCCACAATCCACAATTTCACCAATTTCAACAATTCACATAAATACACATAATCTCATAGCACAAACATATACACACTGAGACTCAATGCAAAACTCAATTCAAGACTCAATGCAACTCATGCCATGTGGTACCAACACTTGTTATTATTTTTCGGTTTTTATATTAAACTGAGTCCGTTCCCTATACCAATAACACACAAAAAACTCATTCCCTAAACTTTCAAACCCCGCTCTAGGTTTGGGACAAGTCACTAGTTCCCACGGAACTAACAAACATTGCCTCTTGACATAAATGATGCGTATGCAAATTCAACAACTATATGCAATTAAGATCATACACAAATCTTAATATCTACACATATCTTCAATAATTCATCACACTCGAATTACCACACATTTGCACATACAAACACATTTTCAAGAATCATGACATTCTTACTTCAAACATCATCACCACAATTAGTAAGTAATTAACAAGTATCAATACAATTCAACCTCAATTCACAAAACACAAATCCCTAATTAAATATAAAATAATTAATCATCATCGATAATTAAAAATTCGATACTCGATAAATAGTCAACATTTAATAAATAATTCAATATTTTAAATAAATGTTCAATATTCAATAAACAATCTAATATTTTAAATAAATATATTCAATAAATATTTTAATATTTTTATAAAGTTCTAATATATAATAAAGTTTCAATAATATTAAGTAAAATTTTAATAATAAATAAAGTTTCAATATTAAATAGGAATCAATATTTTAAATAAATAATCAATATTGATTTAGTATTCAACAAGGTTCCATACCATACTAATTGTATTTCACTACAGAATATTGAAAAAAAGAAAAGAAAATACATTGCCTTGTCTTATTATTTCGCTACAAGATGTTGTAAATAATGGGTTACACTTTCATTCTTGATGCTTACACTACAGTAAAAATTCAGTAGGTAGTATCACTTTGAATTTAACAACCTATTAATAAATTCATGTCCATACTAACTTTGACAGAGTAATAATGGTTCCTAATTACACCAACAACAATTCTATTTCCAATCAACTATCTAGCCACTCAACTTAACAAAACAACTAACCTTTTCTAATCGTTCATAATGGAATTTTAGTTATAACCTAATAACTACACTTTCTAACTCATAACAGGTTACAAACTAACACTAACTTATCCTAATTAACTACTAGACTCTCTTAACTCACCAATACATAACAATTCTAAACAAAATTAATTATTACATATTAAAATTATCTTCAAAACCTAACTAATATCAAATCATAAAAATTAGGGGTTCATCCTAAACACGTTTTTATCCATTATACACTATCAAACAATCCCAATAATTATATAAAAACTCACATTTATCTTGAATTTCTTGAATTCTAAAGTTCTTGAACTTGGGTTTTCTCATCTTCTTCTTCACTTCTCTCTTTGCCTCTTTCTTCCTCTTTACTAATTTTTTTCTTTCTTTCTATTCTCCTCTTACTCTATATTAAACCCTATCATTTGCCTTAACTCAATTTGACCTTACTAACTCAATCTCACACTTACTATTCACACCCTAAAATAAGTCCAACTAATTACTCTAGCAAATTCTACATTTTATTATACCAATAAAATAAATCACATAAATTAATTTAATTCGATAAATCACATATATCAATTAAATAGATTCATTAATTTATATAAATCAAATATTTCATATAAATTCAATAAATCAACTAAATCATTTATTTCAAATAAATCACATAAATTAGTTAATTCAATTAGGCACAAAATCACACAATTAATCAATTAATTTAATTAAATAAATAATTACTAAAAATTAGGGTGTTACACTTAACGCGGTTAGGTGCCGTTTAGCATGGTCTTCTTTTTCTAGTTTTATATAAATACCCTCTCACTTCATTTTGAGAGGGCCAGACACCAACTTTGGGCACCAAAAACTCAGATTAACGCACGAATTAAAGAATCAAAGTTGGATTTACATCAATAGTCGGGAAATCATTGTTGATGTTTTTTCATCTCTTCTCCTTTCTTGTGACTCAAGCTACCATGAAAATATTTAGCTAAATCTCTTGTATCCGGATTAGATGTAGTTAGCTAAAACTTGTATGTATTTATTTTTATCGTTGTTTTGTGAACATATTATGAATCAATGTTGATGTTATCTTTGTTTACATTTAAAACCTATGAGTTTGAATGAATATTGAGAAATGTCTTCCAAGTCTTGACCTAAGATCTTCTTATATCAAAAACCAAAGTCTAGATATGGACTTGGGGTTTATATTCACATGTATCAGA